TCCCTACAAAGAGTTAGCACTGAGGTCATTTCTAAACCTCCTTCATCCAGGTACTTGGACAGCTGAGGTCATGTGAATGTTAGTATTTATCTGAAGTTATGTGATTTCCAGGGAAAGTGCTAAGAGCACCTCTGCAACCTTGAGAAACTCCCTGTGGGCATCAGGACAGCTTCAGTCAGTAAACAGCTTGTTCTTCAGGAAACCAGCAGTTCCAGAACCCTGAAGGACTTCAGCATTGATACCAACAGGAGGCATTGTTCGTGTTTCTTTTTTTTGGAGACAAAGTCTCACTCTTGTCTCCCAGGCTGGAGTGCAATGACACTATCTTGGTTCACTGCAAACTCCGCCCCCCAGGTTCAAGAGATTCTCCTGCCTCAGCCCACTGAGTAGCTGGGATTACAGGTGCCTGCCACTACACTCAGCTAAGTTTTACATTTTTAGTAGAGATGAGGTTTCACCATGTTGGCCAGGCTAGTCTCAAACTCCTGACATCAGGTGATCTGACTGCCTCAGCCTCCCCAAGTGCCAGGATTACAGGTGTGAGCCACCACGCCCGGCCCGTGTTTTTTTTTTTTCCAATTTGAAAGGACAAAGTTATTATTATTTTTAAATCCCTCTCTCCTCTTTTTGTCCTGGCCCTTCTTAGGGCCACCTCACCTACCTCCTTCCAATGTGGTACCAGTAAAATATAGAGTCTGCAGGATTTGAGTTTCAGATGAGCAATAAGTAACATCTTTGGTATAAGTATGTCTCAAACATTGCTTGGGACATACTAAAAATTATTCACTGTTTATCTAAAATTCAAGTTTAACTGGTGTCCTGTATTTTACTTGCTCAACCTGGCTAGCTTCCTCCCCAACAGCCTCCCTCCCACCCCCGCTCCCACCCCCATGCCACTCTGGCCATTCTCTAATGTTGAGAAAACACAAGAATAAAAATAAAACCCTTAAGGAAACCAACCAGTTGCCTTAGACACAAAAGAAGAAAAAAATAATCCCTTTGCTAATCAGGAACTCCCATGACTAGGAATTCCAAACTTAAGACTTCAAGAAGAGGGAGAAATAAGATCTCATTGGGTCCCTTCTAAGCTGAAATTAGCATTAATATTTTGAAAAATGAGTTAGAACCATTCTTTACAACAATATTAAGGAGTGTTGTGGTCAAGCTGCACATTTTGGGTTGCTTTGAATTAATTCTTTTTTTATTAGAACTGCTTTTCAGCATAGGGTTTAGGAGTAGCTACTTCCTGCTCACCTGTGCTACTGAGTGATGATGATTGGGCACAGGTATTTCTGTCACAGGATTGACAACAGCCATCCCAGAACACTGATGAGTTTTCTTGAAAAATAGGTAGGTCTGCTCCTGATAAATACTGTTGTTGTTGTTGCTGTTGTTCTTGTGGTTATTAATAATGACATTTTTATCCCCTCAAGTATGTAATGCTGTAACAAATCTTCCAGTTACTCTGTGCCAAATACACTGAGGTTTCTTTAATAGGTTTCATTGTGCTGAAGAGACTGACTGTCACCTGGCCATCCTTCTGCCTCTGGAAAGACTGTGTTCAAGTCATGCCGGCAGAAACAGATTTTCATTAAACCTTGATTAAACAGAAAAATGCAATTGTACTCAGGTGGTTAAAGCCACAGGAAAGTATTTCAGGGTAGTGAGTAGGTAAATGGGTAAGGTCTAGGCTTTGCCACAGACCAGCTTTGTGGCCTTGAGTAAGTTAGTTACCCACACTGTGCTTTAGACTCCTCAGCTGTGAAATAAGGTCATGGTGAGGGTGACATGAGTTAATGTATGTAAAGTTCTTAGAACAATGTCTGGTACAAAGATGAGGTCCATGAGGGTTAGTGATGATTAATATTATCCTTTTACATTACTCTTACAGATTGTCTCCATGTTTCCAGAAAACATCAATGCGTATCAAGAATCTTAAAGCCGTTCTTACCATTTGACACAATTACTAATAATTTTGAGAAATCTACCCTAAGAAATAATTGGAGATACAGGCACACACATAGGTACAAAGAAATTCACCACACTATTATTTTTTTATGGCCAGACGCTGGTAGCAGCCTAGAGTTTAACACCAGGGAATTGTCAAATAGACAAAGGTATATTAATATAATAGACTATTTGCACAGACATTAAATACCATGTTTTTAAGGAATACTTATTTAATGTCCTAGGAAATAATTAGGGTTAACTAGAAAAAAAAAGATAATAAAAATAGTTTTGTTTTATTCCATAACCTACAGTGACAGACCCTGATTATGGCTACAAGGCAAGAGCTGTTAGCTATGTCTTTGTTTTTTAGATTGAGTTATACCACCGATAGGGGGCAGAATCTTTGGCAAATTACATATGTGTACTCAGTCTAATAGAGCAGACAGAAGCACAATTGATAAGGACACTAACACGTTCACAAGTCCAAGAGAGGTAACAAGTCAGATGGTGTAGAGGGATGGCTAATGGAATTTCCCCCAGTGCACTGCTCTAATTCCATGAGAATCATTCCTGCACGATGTGCTCAAAGTGACTCTGAGACTCTGTCCCCATTCATGAGAAAAAGCCCTGTGATCAATTAGTAATGTCTGCTGTGGACTCAGAAGAGTGTGCTGGCAGCAGGTACAGTGTATATTTGCCATCCCTGACACTAATGATAATGGCAGCTAAGGAATCAAAGAAAGGTGAATTTATCCAAGAAAGATCTCAAAGAAGATTCCAGATTCCTCATGAAATTAGTCTAGAACCTTTAATTATAAATATATAACATGTCACATGGAACATGAGCAAATGATTGATTAGATTGGGAAGAAAAACTGGAGACCAAGTAGGTTAGCCTGGAGACAGAGAACGGATGTATAGAATACATCATTCACCAAGTTTTTCTGGGAAGTCACGAAAAGCCAGGGTTTGGGGAAATCTTTGTCAGGACCAAGGAGAGTGCTGGTAGCAGGAGTCAGGACAAAGACAATCGACTCTATCTCTTTCAATAATAACTCCTTCGTATGGTAGGAACTGTGGTTCTTATTTTACCAAGAGGAAACCAAGACTCAAAGATTTTAGGGTCACACAGCTAGAAATTTGCAAAATTCTCTTTAATCCCTGGTATGTCAGATGACAACGACTGGAGTTTTTTCTAAGCCCCCACCGACTTCTCTCTGTCAATAATGCAAGGCCCACTACCCCTGGATTATGGGAGGATTTTGCCATAGGGTAAAATCCAAGGCAGAAACCAGAGATCTAAATATTCCCAGCTTGACTGTTTCTCTAATTTGCTCTCAACACTATATTTTCTTATCAATGTTATCTGATTTAGCTAAATCAATTAATGATCAATTAATAATTTTTGAATAGCCACTGAGCTCAACAGTGATCTCACTGAATCTTCACAACCATCGTAGACAGAATGCCTAAGAGCAATGATGGTGGAGAATACCCGGTGAAGGTTTTGCCCACCAGGGTGGGAGGTGAGGTATGTACTGAGAAGGTCAGAGAGAATCCTCCATGCCCACAGGTACTAAACAAGCCCGGGGTAGACCTGAGACCTGGCCCAGCTCTAGCTTCTCTCAGCATGTACTGAGCAGCAGGGTTGCCAAAGGCCAAATCAGATTCAGTAAACACAGACTTCTGTGAAGCAAGTGCTCTTGCCTTCACTCAGTGTCAGCTGGGGACTGCATGTGCCTTGAGTACTAAAAAGTTCTGCAGAGAGGCCAAGTGCAGAAATCCGTGCCTGAGATTTTCTACTTCTACAAAAAGAATGAGCATATGAGGCGCTCAGCCAAGGTCAACCTGGAATTGGAAGGCTGAGCCCAGGCTCAGAGGAGCTGGAGCCAAGGTGGAAAGCTCCAGGCGCTGGGAGGGCAGGGACAGCAGGCTGGAGTAGAAGGCCAAGTGCAGGAATGTTTATTGAAAAGAACCCAGCCCTCACACCTTGGGGATTTGGGAACTGGCCGTCTGCACTTGAGAGCCCTGCCAGATGAGTTCAGCCATTTCCACTTCATAAAGGTCTTGGTGCAAAAACGAATGGCAAACCCAGCCGTGAATGTGATTTCTAAAAGAAGATGATTGAAAAAATCATTCTGCTTTTTCAGCTCTCTCTTCTGGTGGTCAGGAGGAGGAAAGGAGGAGAAAAGTCCCTGGATACTTGCAAACATCCCCATCAGATTCCAGAAACTACTATGCAGAACAAGGGAGTGTCATATCTTCTAAGATTTCTCACCAGAAAGAGAGGGCTAAAATCAGAGCCTAAATGAACCTGAGTATGCATCTGGCTGCCAGGAGAGAGCAGCAGGGATAGGAAAGAGGAAGAGCCATCCCTTTGTGAGACCAAAACAACATGACCCCCCGTTGCTCCCGGGTGACAGACTTCCAGGCTTACATTAGACAAGCAGCTCGAGGAAGAGACATACAGATTACGTATCTAATTTTCTGTCACTGTCTTCATGACATCACATATGTCACTGTGGTTTTCCAGATTACTCTCAACCCTGTAAAGAACTGTTTTCCCTGATGACTCTGTTTGAATTTTTTGTTGGCACGGGTTTCATTTCCTTACTTCCTGTCGGCCTCACTTCTTAGATCTTTGTTGGAGTTTTTGGTGCCTCCCAAACCCCACATCTACAGAAAATTTTTCTAGACTGCAGAGTCTTCTGGCACTTCTCCCTCCTGATCACTCAAAATGATATAAAGCCTCACCAAATGATCTGGCATTGCTGCTTCTGGAGATAGCTATAGCCCAGCTCCCCACACCCCAAACCCTTGATCTTTTCCACTGTGTTCAAAACTAGGCTAAAGTGAAGTCATCACAACTGCTCTTTCAAGCTTAAGGAATTTGATAAATGAAGTTGTGTGGGGTCCTGGCAGGCAATATGCTTGAGCAGAGCACAGTGATCATCTGCGAACCACTCTTTATCCCTTTATTGTAGACACATATTCAAGTTCCAATTGCTTTGTTAAACTTTTTTGTGTGTGCCTCTCTTTTTATATTTCAGCTTTATACAATTATTCCCAAATCTTCCAAACTGACAGTGAGGGAGAGTAATTTGAAAGGACTGCTCAACTCACGTCTTTGAAGATTTGCACCATAGCTGCATTTTTCCAATTTCCTGGCATCTATTCTGCTCTCCTGGACTTTTCAGAAACAATTGTAAGTGGATGACTAAATATAATAACTGATTCCATTGATACTCTTGAACTATCCTTTGGACTTTCTGCTTTTGGACATTTTACAGTTTAAAATTTATTAAGCATCTATCGATGTTTCCAAAAGAAGGACTCGAAGTAAACATTATCAAAGATCTCATGGATCTAATTAAGGACAGGAAACAGGTACAGAGTCATACATGGTCTCTTCACAGAGGGGATGATTTCTGAAGGGAAGAAGAACCTTAGTAAATTCCTGAATTGCCCATATGCTTGTGGCTACACAATTGACGTTGTCTACTTCATCAGCTTTGGGAATGAAATAAGGTCCTACTCTGTAATTTTTCAAAGAAAATGTCCTGTCTTGCTAGCAAGAGAGCAACTTTTCTTTTCCTCTCCCTGGGATTCTTTCCCCTCTTGTGATACATACAAGAACTGATGGTAGGTCTGATCCTAACCGTCCCAGAGAATGCAGTTTAATCAACAGAGAAGATTTCGGCTCCTGCACTGTGGGCAGCTTCTTCCGACCTCACGTCTGTCATCCCTGGCGGTCCAGCAGCTCTGCTGCACTGAGTGCCTCAGACATGCATTGTCAACTCCAGTGAGTGAAACTGGAGCCAGGCTCTAACACTACCTGCAAAAGGTCTGCGGACTCAGGTTCTTCCTTGATAAGCCAAAACCCCTTTCCTTCTGCCATCAGAACTGCTTCTTATTTGGATTGGAATTTCACTGAATTAACAGATTAAGTTGGGGAGAATTGATATCTTTTCACGTTGAGTTTTCTCATCAAAGAACATGATATGCCTCTGACTTTACTCAGGATTTCTAGCATGTTCTTTAGTAAAGTGTTGTAATTTTCTTCATATAAGCCTTACATATTTATTGCTTGATTTGTTGCTCTGTACTTTAGAGTTTTTGTTGCTTCTGTGAAGAGGGCCTTCCTTTCCTTTATTTTCTAGTTGAGTATCACTGTCTATACCATAGATAGCACATGTCTGACTACCTTGATGAACTATTCTGCCTGCTCTAATATCACTGTCTATACCATAGATAGCACATGTCCGACTACCTTGATGAACTATTCGGCCTGCTCTAATGGTTTTTTCACCATTCTGCCTACTCTAAACGTTTTTTCACTTGCACTTCTTGTGTTTTTCCAGATAGATAGTGTACTGTTTCCAATAAGCATACATTTCTATTTCTTCTGTTGTAATGGCTAGGACCTTCACCGTAATGCTGCGTGACAGCAGTGGTATCTGATATCATTGACTTATTTTCACTTCAGGGGTCCACTTTAGTATTTCACCAGTACACATAGTTTTTATTGTAGTTTTATTGTAGCTAGTCTTTATGGAATTTGAGTGAGAGAGAGAGACAGAGAGACAGAGACAGAGAGAGAGGTTTTTCTAATCCTAAGCTTGCTAAGATTTCTTACTAGGAAAGATGTTGAATTTTATCAAATGCAAAATCTCATGAAACACAGGGCTTTCATGACAACTCTCAGTAGTTCAGACTAAAGCTCATTTTGACCACAGATTTTTATGCTTTTGCAACCTTTCCAAAATAACCGATATCACAGCAGAATGTCAAAATATCTGTAAATAAGTGTACTTCTTGGGAAAACTGGACCTCTTTCTTATCATGATGGAACTCTATTTTTAGAGTTTTTAGTGGGGCATGATGCATAAGGAGTGTGACTTATTGTTCTAGATAAAATCCATAACAACAAAATAATACAAGAATATCAAAATTGTGAGTACTAAAACCCTTATAGATATTATTGCATGCTCTGATGAAGAGAAGAGCACCTCAAACCCTGCCTCTACAAAGCTAATCAATTCTCTTCAATCCAAGTCTTAAAATACTTTTTCCCTTCACAATATAATTTGGCTCTCTCCAACTCCTAATTCCCCAGACCTAGTCTCAAAAAAAGGACCAGCTAGAAAGAAAGATTGTAGTTCTCCTCCATACCCAGGAATCATACTTCACTTAAAACAGTTGGTAAACCTCCAGAGCCAACAGGGATGGAACACTCAACAGCTTCTCCTTTCATGTGGAGAAGAGGGAAATAGGCTGTAGTAGAATGGGGACCAATATTAGCCGCTGTCTGGAAATGTCAAAACGATTAGCATGAAATACTAAACTCATGCGAAATCAGGGCTCTAATGGTGTAACTCCTGAATGCTCTCTGTACCATATTGCACACCAGGATTAAGAAAACAGTCCTTGAGTGTTTCACAATAGTGCCCTCTTCACAGCTGACCTCGTGTGCTTTCCAAAGTCCTTAATTCTGCCACTTTCAGCATCCCTGTCTCTGTGGATTTACGATGTGTCACCAATATTATTACTTTCCCTGTTTCCACCCCTTCCACCCCAAATATTGTAGGCTTTGTAAGTAACACATTTCCACAGAAGCGCGCTGAAAAGTCAAGAAGCAGAATTTCTCAGCAAGAAGAGCTGTAGGTAAAGGGGCTCCTCCTCACCCTCTGGCTGGCACCCAGGAGGCTTTGTGGACTATAGGGAAAGATGGAGTAGAGTAAACAAAGACATCCCAAGGGAGAAAAAAGACACTTAAGGGAGGAGATTGGCCCCCATTTCCGAACATGGTGAGTGCCAACCAGCTCTGGCAGCAAGGGAGTTCCTTGGGTTTTGTGCATGCAATTCCCTTAGCAAGCAAACCAATGCCCTTACTTCTGGGCCCGTGAACTACCTGGCAGCATGGAAAAGGATTTGTTCATCTGTGCCATCGCCAAACCAACCTGTACAGTGGAGAACCAGCCAGTCCTTCTAAGCCACCATCACCTTTGTGAGAGGTAAAAAAACTGATTCTGAAAGGACTTTCCATGACGAATTTCCTTTGACCCTTTTGGGAAGGAACTGCTATTGCCATTCTTTTCTCTCTCTGATTATTTAAATGTGGGGCTCTTTTTACCCTCTGGGTATAAAGTAAGTACTTTTTGACTGACTGATTATTCATCCTTTGCTGATAATGCAAAGTAAAAGTAGGTCAAATGACTCGTGGGCTAATATCCTGCTCTCATCTGATAGATAATCTCAACCAGAACCCCTCCCAACCCTGCATCAGGTTATGGCCCTTGTGGTGAATGCTAGGGTGCCCAAACCAGATCACCACCCCTTCAGAACCAAGGCTTTTAGTCCCTCCGCTTTCAGGAGTGTTGGTTGTGACATTTCACTGCTGCATTTCTAAGAATTGCCCTCCGTTGAAGGAAGCTGCCTTGATCAAGGCTGCAATGTCTCACTGGGGCCAGCTCATATCCAACGCCTGGCCAATGGGGTGGGTACAAAGGTCTGGCTTCCTTACCGCTATGGGGACAAGTCTGAGGGGCCAGCTCAGTTCCAGAATTCCCCATGGGATCCACTGAGGCCTCTGGTACAAAATACATTGCAATTCATCTTCTACCTTTGCCCCATTCTGCATCTTTCACCTGCTCACAGATCTTGATTCTGCAACTGCATGCATATTTCCATCTCAGAATCTGTTCTAGGGAACTAAGCATAAGCCCCTTCCCCCTCCTGCTGTTTGGTTTCCAATTTGCTGTCTGTTACTCCTTCTTCATATAAACAGATATCTCTACCCATCCATACATGTAGATTTTGTGTGTGTTTGCATTGTAGGAGTTGCAGGGGCATATAAATCCCTTTTGCATTTAGCCAATATCCAGTCCAATCGGGGACTGTTTCCAATGACAAAAATCTGACCTGAGCCAGCGTAACAGAAGGGCTCACAGGTTGGGAAAGTCCCAGAAGTAGTCTGGCTTTAGCAGCAGTTGAGCAGGGGTTCAAATCATGTCACTGTGACTTATTTCTCTAAATATATTTCTTAGTCTCTCACGGCCCTGTTGCCTTAATTCTGAAAGAGCCTGTATCAGTTAGCTATTGTCACAATGATGTTGCTTAGCCAGCAACCACGAAATGTCAGAGGCATTCAACAATGGACATTTCTTTCCCATACATCAGCCCGGCCAGCTGATGTCAACTGGGCTTACTAGACCCCATGGGAGGGCTAGCACAGTGAGACCCTGGGCGGTAGCTCTGCTTCACATGAGGCTCTTGCTAAGCTTGGCTCCAAAATGTAGGTTGGGCATTTATCTTTTTTTTTTTTTTTTTTTGAGACAGAGTTTTGCTTTTATTACCCAGGCTGGAGTGCAATGGCATGATCTCGGCTCACTGCAACCTCCACCTCCCAAGTTCAAGCAATTCTCCTGCCTTGGCCTCCCAAGTAACTGGGATTACAGGCATGTGCCACCAAACATGGCTAATTTTGTATTTTTAGTAGAGACAGGGTTTCTCCATGTTGGTCAGGTTGGTCTTGAACTCCCAACCTCAGGTGATCCTCCCGCCTCCGCCTCCCAAAGTGCTGGGATTATAGACATGAGCCACCATACCTGGCTGGGAATTCATCTTCAGGTCTGGCTGAGAGGGCAGGAGCTACCCTGAGAGACTCTTCTCATAGACACCATAGAAGCACAAAGAGCAAGCCCAACGGCACCAGCACATTTCACACCTCTGCTGCATTACATTTGCTGCCATCTCATTGGCCAAGGCAAGTTATAAGGATGAGCCGAAATTTAAGAACTACTCAGATAGCAAGTCACATGGCCAAGCCCAACATCAGGGCAGTTAAGAGGAAGTGAGTGGGGGGAGAAAGGTAAATATGTAAAACAATCATCAGACCTAATAGAGTCCTTCTCCCATTACAGTCCCAAAAGACACAGCATCCTCAGCATTTACCTCTTCCCAACTTCAGGTCCAAGGAGCTGAATGCCTGTCTCAAGCCCCAGCCAAAGTATCCTTGCTCCTCACTGGCCCTGGTGCATCCCCAGCCCTCCCTGCACCAAACACTGTGACAAACGGGATCTCAGGCACTGACTACCCAGGCACTGACCAGAGCTGAGGAAGTGGATCACCTCATTCACATGGCATGGGTTAAATTCCACAGACAAAGGAACACAGTTACCAGAGTGACAGCTAACACATCTTGGGCTGCAAGAAACCACGTGTCCACAGTGGCGACCTCATTCAT